CATTTAAAGTTCTTTTTCTTATTTCCACATCTGCAGAGAAATGTCAGGTTTGGTATCTTGAATGCCTCCTATCACTGTTTCATCAAACATGATATTGGATCCGATGTTAGTTAACAGCCAGTCTTGGTATCTATGGAACAACACCAGATGTGTTTAAACAATGCCCTAGCAGGTGCAAGACATCTTCTCTAATGCTTTTGCTGTTTGGATTTTCTTGATGCCTTGACTGATGATTATGTTAAGTTTTAAGATGTCATGGTGATGTAGATGGAAAGTTTCAGTTTTAGCATCGATGATATGGGTTTTTATCAACTTGCAGGGGACCAACCATGTATTTTTTTTTATATTAATCGGTATTTAAAGAAAATCTCTTTAAGTTGGGATTTAGATGTATATACACATTTTGATAATGACTTGCTCTACAATAATGTCAACATAAACTGTGAGACTGACTCGATTAAAAAGACGTAATCTTGCAAGCATTGGCTATTCTATTTTTCCTCTCCTATTCTGTGTCTTATATGCTTACCTGATTCTATAGTCTTATGAGGTTCATTCTTTTCAGCATCATTCTTCTTTAGTAATAAAATTTAGGATGATGAGATTCAAGTTGTGGGGTTAATTGTTTTACTACTTTTCATGTTACACTCTCCCCTTCTTGTGCATGCCAGCTTCATGGTCATAATACTTTTTTATTTTATTTTATCTGAAATCTAAGTTTGAGTTTGCATGTTTCCCATTATTTTGCTTCTTATCACTTGAAGCACCAAATGATTAATCTTGGGCGAATGGATAGCTGACGATATATTTATATTTTCAAAACCTATATTTGACATATTCGAGTGCCTTTTATTTTAATCTTGTTTGTTGTGTGTTTGCAATTCAGAAGGATGTCTTATTCTCCTTTTGTGTTTTCTTCTTCTTCTTTCTAATAAAACTTTCCTTTCTATGTGGTTTCTGTGGCATATTTGATTGCTCACAATCCTGTATTTTGTTTTGAAATGGCGCTTAAATGTCAAATTCTTTTCCGTAAGTGGTTCTCTGTGTTTGATTAGCCATGCTATTAGTGCTCCCTCACATTTGAGCTTTCTCTTTTCCTTCTTTTAATTCCAAATCCTGTCACATGACACAATATTGGCTTTGTAATTTGGCAGTGTCCTTTTGTTTTTGGACAAACTCCTAATCCTAATACATGTGCTTGCATAACGGTGGGTCATGATTTGGTCTCGTTATTCTTTTGCTTCAGGAGTCCCACTCTACTTCTGTGAAATGTTTGGTTTAGAACATTTCGATACGCCAATATATGCCCAGTTACTGGCAGCCCTTATGCTGCCACTTCGGTTTGGTGCCCTGAAAAAACATCCTAGGAAAGATAGTAAGATGTTAGAGGTTTGGAATCGTATCTCGGGCGTGTTCAAGGATGTTTTCTTTTTCTCCCTTTGAGCTGTTTCGCATCTGTAATGCCAATCTTGTTTTTACCTGGAATAACATATTTCAAATGAGAAATAACATATTTACTCTAATACTGAAACTATATGACAAAAGCGTAGCTTTTTGCAGAAACAGCTTTAGGCAAGAAGTAGAGTAGCTCCCAGAGGATTCTCGAAGAAAAACCTTCGATGAACAAGACAAAAAACACCTAGTACAACAAATTAGCATAGCTCATGGAATGCTAGACGTCAAGACGAGGCCCAGGCATAGCTTCATGCAGGGGAGTGATGCTGCAGCCTGCAGCGAACACCGAGGCTCTAGTGTCAAGGCCGAAGAGCAGGCACGCAGCTACTAACATTAATTTCAACGGGTCGAAAACTATAAGCTAACATGCTAGCCAGCATTTATCCACGGCTGATAGGTTATATAAAGTCAATCTCGTTTTTACCTGGAAAAAAAGGATAAATTTTAGCCCCGGGATATCAAAGAACCACGAGCACCATCTTTGGAAACGTGCCACTTGAATCAATAAGAACAAGAAAAATCTTGATGTTTTGTCGGCATTTTTTTTTTGGTTTTTTAGCATTTTTTTTATTTAATGCTTGTTTTAAATGAGAATTATAATATTCAGATATATAATATTAACAGTTTGATAATATCTTGTTATTCATTACAATAAAAAACCACAAAAAACCACAGTAGTTCAGAAATCTAAGCCTAATACTCTTCGTATTGGTCTAAGATCTCAGTGCAATATGAGTGAATCGCCAACATATCTTATAATAATTTTATTTTAATTTTTTTTATTTAATAATTTTTTTTGAATTCTAAAAAATCCTTTTTCTAGAAAATGTGCTTTATAGGTCTAGGTAAACAGGTAAAATTCCAACTGTTCAAGGTTCTTATAAGAAAAACATGCCCTGACTCGAACTTAACAGCTATTATACAGATCTCAATTCTTTTACCGTTTTCAATTCTTTTACCGCTACATCATGCTCTTAATTTATTTAATACTATATCAAAACAAATTATAAATCAGCTGTCTAATTATACAGTAAAACTTTAATTGTATTATTTTGAAAAATACTAATCTCCTAGAGTTAAAAAAAATTCTAAGCCATGCCCTCTCATCTAAAAGAGAAATGATGGAGATAAGAAGTCAACATCAAGATAGAGAAGTGTTTGTAAGTATACATAAATAATGGTTTGTTTAAAATATAAAATTCTATTTATTTTTGTGAATTATAAAAAAATTGGAAATTTTAAAAAATATAATAAATTAAACATATGAAAAAATATGTTTTTTTTCTATATACACTAACTAATAAATAATAATAAAGAAAAGAAAAAAATAACTTAACCAAATAATTGTAAACGGGCTAGACACTTGATAGAGACGGTGTAATCGATCAACAGCCACTTGAAAAAAAAAATGTTGATTTATGCCCACTTGTCAACTTTGCCCTTGCGTTACTACTTCTGCCTGCGACTTTGCTATGAGTCCAAACAAACATTGTTATTAATTACCCCAAAACACGACAGGTTGTTTGATGACTTGTCAATTCAGAGCTTAACCAAATTTGTTTTTAAGCCGAGTTATGAGATGATTTATTTAAATTTAGATGATTTGATTGATAAACTCTGTTTAAAGTTAATTACAAGATTTTTTAAAGATATTATTTTTGTTCATAATAACATTGTTACAGTTTCTTTTTTTTTCTCAATAATATAGTTTTATTTAAAAAAATTAACCCCCATTTAACATATAACAAAACTTAAATCATAAAATAAAATAAAATACAAAGATATATAACTTCAAAAAAGGTTAATATTCAAAACAAATAATCCGAGTTTAAAACTAAGATCATCTTATAAAACGACAAACATAAAAAAATCATAAAATAAAATTTATAATCATAAAAAATAAAAAATAAAAATAAAAATAATAAAGATCAAATCTGATATGAAAAAAAATAAAAAAAATAATTAGAGACTGAATTGAAAACAATAAAAAATTAAAACAACAATAAAAAAATAAAGAAAAAAATTAAATAAGATAATTAAATAAAAAAATAATAAATCAAGAACATGATAAAAAAATAAAAATAAAAATTCAATAAAGAAATTAAATGAAATAAAATAATGAGAATGAAATTGAAAAATAAGTAAAACAAGAAAATGGTAAAACACAAAAAAAAACAAAAAAAATTAAGACCAGATTAAATAAAAAATTATAAAATGCCCAAGGATAAAATTAAGAAAAAATAAACATTAAAAAAATAAAAAGCAAAATAAATAATAATAAAAAACATAATAGCCAAAAATAATAAAAATAGAATTCAAAGGATATAGTCAATTTTTAAAAGGGTTAGTATGAATTTCTAAGCAAAGAAAGAGAATAAACAACAACGACCTTCCCTTAATTTTTTTTAAGGGCAATCCCATTTCTTCACAAAAAATCATCTAATGACTTAATGACTTTGCATGTTTAATACTTTTTAGCTTTTAAAGTTATAAGAAAAAATTTAATGTGCAAATAATATTGAAAAAAAAAAAACCCTTGAACTAATTTTTTTTTTTTTGCTTTTAACAGCAACAAAAATATTTTACTATACCAACAAAATATGTTTAGATCAAGTCAATTTTGTAATGTCTAATAAATTCCTAGAAAAGATGCTTTCACTTTCAATTGCAAGTTTTGTTACTTTTTTTAAGAAAATAAAATAATCATTTCATTGTTTTATTCCATAATCATAGCTACACTAATGACTTTTAACTATTTTTTTAATAATATGGTTGAAGTAAATTAGTTTTACAGTTGAAAAAACAAAGAAAATGGTTTTAAAATTAGGTTCCAACTAACAAGTAACAAATCATGTTAAGTTCATATATCCTCTTTTTATTTTTTTAAAATAATTTCTTTTGATGTACCTACTTGGCAAAAATAGAATTAGTTTATTGGCCATTTGAAAGCAATTTTCTATTATAATTAAGTGTGTGGAACAAAAATCTTTCAACTAAATTCAATTCTTTTTATTTTTCATATTCCTTATCCATTTCATCTTCTTCCCTTTCTCCTTGAAAAAGTTACTTGAAACCTTCATAACTTAGCAAGATCGACTTGTCATTGCAACGTATCAGATTTTGATGAACTCAAAACACAAGGAAGATATATATTAAGCACAAATCCCAATTTTGAGAATTATTATTATTAATGTTTTAACCATAGATCCTTCTACTTCTTCAAAATTACAATGGTTATTTTTTAGCTGTGAATGAAACAAAGTACATTATAATATTAAACATGATTCATCTGCATTAAATTTTGTTAAAAGCACCCATCTTCCTCCACTTTTGGCTCCTATATTAAACATAAATTAAGAATAATGTGATGAGGATACAAGCATATATTGGTAATGATTGAATATTTACTTTTCAGTTTCTACAAAGTCACAAAATACTTAAAAAAGCGAATCTTCTAGACTTCATTTATCCCCGGGGCTAATCTTACGGGCACTTCACTCTCCTAGTTAATAAATATCATTCAAGAAACTAAAAAATAGTGATTATTAAAAAATTTAGAGAGGGATTTTATAAGTGAGCTGTATACCAGTAAATAAAAATCTCCAATAACAATAGAAAAACTTGATTCTTCAATTCAGCAAATCATTCCTCCTATATTAACCCCTCTCAATAATCCATGCACCTACTCTTCCCTCTCGAAGCAGAGACAATAAGACAAATGGAGGGAGAGCAACATGAAACTATGCAGCTAAATGTGATAAAGAAACTAGCTTCACTAGGTATTATGATGGTGGCAACGAAAAGAAAACACTAATAACAACCGTGTATCTTAACAAGAATACCCACCATGAAAAAGAGATGGGAGACAACTACAAAGTGACTAGACCAAGCAGATCATATTATCAGTGTAGAAGAAACAAAAAAAAATTATTACCTCAGATGCCTACTTCGTTTTATCTGTATTAAGCTATTCAAAACATCAATCTTTCTCCACTTTTTCCCAACGCATCCAGAAAAATTGCCTATAAGAGTGAAAGCCTTACAAACAAAGTAATAAAAGACTAGTTGCCGTAGAGGGGTATATTATCAAGTCATTTGTTTTTAAAAAAAAAAATGTGAAGGGAAATGTGTACGAGGCAAGAGTTGTACATGCACACAAATACAAGTTCTGTATTTTGGTTCAATGTCAAAGTTCAAGCAAAACACAAAAAAGATTTCTGTTCCTTACAATAGGATTTTGAGGTTCATCCTTCTAACCTCCATAAATCATTAATGGCATTTCAAGTTCTTTTCCCATGCAAGTGTCTCAGCAGCAGGTATTAAAAATGAAAAAGAACAACTACAACGAAATTGAACTACAATTCAGCATACGAAATATGGGAACCACCTGCTCCAAACTTTTCAAGGTAAAGATAATGGAAAGAACATATAACAATGATGATCAACTGGCATAAAGAAGGAAAAAGAAATGATACATATTTTAGCATTCAAAATATGCTCCTGATCGACATCCCAATCAAAAAGGATTTCTAGTATTCAGTATTTAGCTGAAACAGGATTTTAAAGGTTGCCTCGAAGATAAACAAAAAATTATCCTAACTGTATTGCATTCTACAAAGAAATTTCTTATTCAGTAACATCTCCTCATCTATGATTTAGTTTTCTCTAATATACTCTTCAATGTGTTCTTAATTTTCATGCAAGTTTCCACTCCAAGAAAGTCGGAGTACTAGAAGCATTAAATTTGAATCACATCATTAGTCTTGTTTAAATTGCAAATGACAAAATCAAGGTGAGGGGACCTTTTCGCTTCAATATGTTCATTCTAACCACACTCACATAATTTCCCAACTGATTTCTGACAATTTTACCATCAAGAACATCTGACAATGGTTGAAATTTTAAGTGATTTACTTTTGAGGTTCAAAAAACCACAGAATCAGAAATTATCCACATAAAAGATATATTTGACCATGTAAAAGTTAGAATTATAGATAGATAGATATCTTTTCAGGGTAGTATTGACACAATACCATAACAAGCCAGTAGCCATTTTATCCATCATATCAAATTGAAGTAATTTAAAATACCAGCAAGCACATTACTGTTAACAACCCCACATGGACAAGCGTTGTGAGACAAGTAAATCAGGTACTCTCACATGCCTAAAAGAAGATATACAGAGAATGAAAAAGTACCTGAAGGCATGTATTAATAAAGTCTTCCCTCTTCATCAACATACAATCATGTTACAAATTGTATCTCTGTGAACATGTTCTGCAAAAAAAAAATTCTGTGTTCTTAGCTTAGATTTCGCACAAATGAAAGCTAAAGTGAGGCTTTACTTAATAGTAACGGAGACTAGAGAAAAGAGATAAATAGACAATCCTACATGAATATTCTCTTAAATAGACAACGCACACACAAAATGAAATAACAATTTAAGAGCATTAATATAGTCAAAACAAACCCAGGTACTAACACTACTTTATGACCATTAAAGTTAAAATTATAAAGCAAGAAAGAACATTTCTGGCAGCAGATTGTCTACTGTCTTCTTTGAAGCCGAAAACAGACGCAGCAAGAATACAATGAAGAAAGAAGAAAATAAAGATTATTAACAAAGCGATAAAACCTCTTGTACTCGGTTAAATGAATCTATGCATATGAAACAGAGACTGAATAGACCCGAAGAACATAACTTGCAAAATTCTAAATAAAAAATCACTACGTGGGTTGTTACTTGAACATAAAATTTGATGAGTAAACCAAAAATATATGATATGCTTCAAAGAAAATATACAGAAAATTAGGAAAAACCTGAATGCTTGGCTGAACCGAGGTGTCATGTTTCTGCAAAAGTAGGCCTATGACCATACAAAGAAGGAAAAAAGAAGGCACACATACCCATTTGCCAAATTCTAAAAAAAAAATGAAAAATAGAGAAAAAGACTAAACCTAGGATTTTAGCGATTAATGTCCAAGAATATTTTAAAATTCATAAAGCAAGACATAAAATAAATACAATCAAAACGGAGAAATAATGTTCATGACCTGAATTGAAATTTCTTTCTAAAGACAATCATGCAAGAAACCCACATAATCAGACTAAATAATCAAAAAAACACAACAGAAGATAAAAGAGAAGAACGTTAACAAATAACGAACTATTTAAATTCTAATTCAAACTGGAAATCAAACAAAGAAATATTCAAACCTGAAAATTAAACAAAGAAATAATAACTAAATAAAAGATAAAATCCTAAGAGCGTGAATCTTCAATCATACCTTAGAAGTGAAACTTGAAGAACGATCTTTCTTAGGGTTTTTCTTTAAGAGAGAGAGGATTTTGAAAACCCAGAAAGAGAGGCATGAGAGAAAAATGAAGAAGGGGGTTTCCTTTCTTCGTTTATATCCACACAGTTTGGTTTGCCTTGGTAGAAATGAAATATTTTGACCGTTGGAAGGGATTGCTTTCGTTGAGACGACGCCGGTTTTGAAACGATAAGTTCAAAAAAAGGAAAGCAAAGGCCCCGCAAGGCCCGTTATTTATAAAGCCCATAAATGGTATTGATTTGGCCCATTTTTGGACTCTTCTCTCTTCCACTTTCTCTTTCATTTCAAAGCAGAAACACTTAAACACGTCCACAGAGAGTAAGAGAACTATGGAGGTGAATGTGATAAAGAGACTAACTACACGGCTCCGTTGGGGAATTATGAGGTGGAGCCTTTCCTACAGTTCATTTCTAATCTCTTCTCTTTCTCTCCATCACAATAGAGGTATTGCTTGCTCGCTTGCTATATACTGTCTCAGAACAGGTTACATTTTTTCATTAGTTAAAGATTGAAGCTTTAGTAGACCCTTCTAGCCATAACATTTGTAACTTAAGACCCTTTACTGATAATGATTCCCTTAAAAAAATTTGCAGATTATGAAGTGTAATTATTGTCCTTAGTGAATGATTCTAAGTTTAGACCATTTTGGTGATAGTTAATGGTATTTTTGCAGATTATCAAGTATTATTTAGCGTTCTTCAACCATACAAAACCTCAATGGATATCAAAACAGTGACGAAAAGGCACTCAAGAATTAGTATTACATTTGGTTAAGGAACTAGTCCATCTCTTATGGCTTCTTTGGTATCGAAATATGATCACTGTAATTGCCATAATCTGTTTCATCCAAGCCATTGGTCACGTTTTCTGTTGGAGTATTGATTTAGTGGAGTTGGATATTATTATTGATAAGTTTATGAAAATGGGATATCATAGGATTGTCAGAACGGTTTTTTATAAAATTCGTGCACTAGATGTGGTTATATGAAACACAATGATCGGAGGTTATGTTAGAAAAGCATGATATGAGGAGGCATTGAGACTTTTTTGAGCTATGATTAGATCGAATGTTGAACCAGATAAATTTACACTTGCATGGTTACAAATGGTGTGCAAGACTCGGAGACCTTAATCATGCTCAGTGGGTGCATATGAGTTGTTGATCGAGAAAAGAATTGAGTTAAGTTTTATTTTGAGTTCAGCATTGATAGACATTGATTCGAAGTGCAGTAAAATTCAGACTACGAAGGAGATTTTTGATATTGTCCACCGCAATGTTTGTATTTAGAATTGGATCGATGATCAATGGTTTAGCAGTTCATGAGCTTGCTAGAGATACAATCAAAGTCTTCACGAAGATGGCGGTAGAACATGCTTTGCCTGATTCTATAACCTTTCTTGGAGTTTTAACAGCGTGTAGCCATTGTCGCTCGGTCACAGAAGGTTACAAATACTTTGATTTAATGAGAAGTCGATACTCAATTCGGCCACATCTTGACCATTATGGATCCATTGTCCATTAAGATATTAAGAATATTGTGATGCTCAAATGGAAATAAAAGAAGGTGTTGAAAATTTAGTTAGGTTCGAAGGAGAGAAGGTGTAACTTGTGAACACGGTTATTAAACTTGGTTAGATCCAATAGATCAATTCAGTATTTAAACAACTCGTTCTTGGTTGTACAAAATCAATCCAAAATTAATCTAGTATCAAAAAACAATTAAAAAAATAAAAATAAGAGAATAACTATGAGAATAAAGAAAATTCCAAAATATTTTCTGTGCCTAATTTAGATAAGTTATCAGTTGACTTTAATTAAACGTGTAAAACAGTTCAGCAATCAGATTATAAATCATGTCTGTTTTTAACAGAAAGCTAAGACGTCTTCTTCAACTAAGAATTTTGATACGCATCCTGCGTCACAGCCACCTGCTAGAGGAAACACATGATGACTGACTCTAGCAAGCAACATGACACTGGGAATAGAGAAGACAAGACAGCCCGCAAGGTGAATCAATCCTTGGAAGCTGGATATTTGTTATAGCATCTTAGTATACTCCCAGCTTGTTCCAAAGCTTGACAATCCCTTTAACGTTTCCTGTCCACGTATATATATGTCTTTAACTTTCAATAGCCAAGATACCAAGTTTTAATTTGCATCTATTGTCGGGGACTATTAGAGGGGTGGCCCGTGCTATCTCACGAGCCGGTTAAAAATATTTAAGCATATAAAAAATATTTTAAATAACAAAAATATTTAATTAAAAAGAAATCATTAAAGATCCATCATCACTTCATCATGAACATTGTTCATTACAAAAAAATTTTGTCAAGATGATTCAAACTTAATTGAAATAGTATGAACAATGTCAACTTTAAAAGAAGCTATATGGACTATTAGAGCTATTTGGCTGTTAGAACAACATCCTAAAAAACAAATCGAACAAAATAAAAATAAAATAAAGTGAGCATGTAATTATATTCAATTAATAAATTCTATTTAATTAAAAAATAAAACCAATTTTAAAAAATAAAAAAAAAACAAAAACAAAAAAAATCTAAGATAACCCAATTCAATAAAAACAATAGCTAAAATAAAGGTCATAAAAAGCATGAAAAAAAGTTCAATATGCTATTAAATAAATATTAAAGTTCAATATGTTATTAAATAAATATTAAAGGATAAAAATAAAAATAAGTATTTTAAAAAAATGATAAAAAAGAAGTAATTCTAGGCTAACCTCATGAAACTATGTTAATTTCCAAAGCTTACAATCGTGAAATCCTAGACACGAGTATAACTAAAAAGATCAAATCCAAAATAATCAAACATTGAAAAATAAAATAATAAAAAGTACTAAATTAGAAAAGTTTACAAAGAAAAAAATACATAATCAAAAGAACGATGATGAAATTTAGACCCCGTTTGTTTGCTGAAAAGTAATATTTATTTGAAAAGTGATTTTCTTGGAAAATAAATTCTTAAAAAGTAAATTATTTTATGATGTTTGAAAGTATTATGAAAAATAAATTAGAAATACTTTTCAATGATTAGCAGTTTCATGGAAAATAAGCTAAAAAATAAATTGTTAATATTTTTTTTTCAAGTTTATTGAAATAATAAGAAATAAATCTTACATATTAAAAAGTTGAATGAGAATAAATTTAAAAAAAAATTGATAAATTATTTCAAATAAAATAAATAGCAATTAAAATAAAAAGAGATAAGATCTAATAGATAAAAAAGTTAAAAAATGATGAAATTAAAAAAGAATTGCAATTTTATAAATTATTTCAAATAAAATATATAACAATCCAAAAACAAAAACCAAATCTGATAAATAAAAAATTTAGTTAAGAAAATGATAAGAGAAAAACAAATAAAAATTATAAAAATAAAGATTAAAGTTGATATAGAAATCAAATTGAAAAAAAAAATTCAAAACAAAATATGTAGCAAATAAAAATTTGAGAACCAAATTTGATATAATCAATAAATAACATAATATTTCTAATTTTTTCACAACTTTTAAAAAGTATTTTTCACCCAAAATAAAAAGAAAATACTTTCCTGAAAACCAAATCAAATTTTTTTTAACCAACTTTTTTAATAATAAATAAATACAAGAAAGTTTAAAATATAATTTTTAGAAAATCATTTTTGGTGAAACAAACGGGGATATGAAAAAGATTGATGGAGGGGTAAAATAAAAAAAAAAATAATTTTAAAAATTATTTCACATTACAAAAATAGAAATTAAAAAATATAAAGATTAAATTTGACAAAGTAATAAAATTAAATAAGGATAAAATTGAAATAAAAATCTAATTTAATGAATTATTTTAAAAAAATTAAAAAAAAATTAAAGGCTAATTTAAAAAATTAAGGGGCAGAGCAAACACCAAAACCAAAATAAAAAATAGCTATCTAAACTAAACTAGATTTCTTCTTAGTACAGATTTCTTCTTAGTACACATGTCATATTTTCATAGAGAAAACTTTGAGGTGAAATGAATGAACCCAGAACAATTTTTCTGGCCACTAGAATCAATCACAAGTATTTTTCAAAGATGACGGAGCGACTACTACATTGACATTTGCTCAGCACATGTGGACAAATTTAGATAAAGACTAAACTACCCCTAACCCAACATAATAACAATAAAATAAAAAACTAATTGTGAAATGGCTAAAATATCCTTTGACCTAGGGCTTAAGAATATAAACTCTAAGAGCAGGTTGATCTCTAAAATAAATAAAAAAACTCATATTTTTTTCTGATTTCAAGGTTAATATAGTTTATTTTACTATGCACAGTCAAATGAAAACACAAATATCTCTTCATGGCATATTAACAATTTCTTTCTTCTAAGGATACCGATCTACTTTTAATGTTTTTTAAAAAAGCGAATATCCGATCAATTTAAAAATACTAAAATAATTTTACCCTTAGTTATTAGCTTATACTTTTTCTCAAGGGTAAGATAGTGAATTTGTTCTTCCCATATATCGTAAAATATGTAACAGTGATTACACCTAGAGTTTTTTTTTTTTTTTTTTTAATTTTAAAAAAAAAATCCCAACAATGGACCTATT